CTTCTTTCTTCACCTCGGCCGTCACATTGACCGACCTAATTGTTACTTCATTACTACTGGTATTGATCAGTTCGATGCACTGTGCCGACCTTTGTACCTCGACGTTCTGTGGTACTCCTACCAGAGTGTTAGGCGGTATAAAAATTTCTTCATCCAAAACATTTGCTACCAACCCTTGAACTAGTCCGTTTTCCGCTGATGTGTATGTCCGCAGTAACACGACGCCTGCCCTCAGTGCGGCGCCACATGGTTCTATCATCACATCACCATTCACGCTTCTATCACCAATTTGTAATGTGATTGCCTTGACCGTGTTTGCCGGGACTGCTGTCCTTCCTCTGGTCTTGGCAAACCTGGCCAACTTGGATCCCCGACCTGGTGTGGTCGATCCGACAATATTTGTAAGAAATTCTGGCAACTGGCCAAGAATATTCATGCCCAACAGGCAAGGTATATTTGACACATTTGTCTCTAGGTTGTGTTTCGTAACGAACACCCCAACCTGCTTCAACCTATGTCCTGCCACCACGACATCCGCCAGAAAATAACCACAGTATGGAATGGTTAGTCCATTAGCTGCCGTCAGGCGCATGCCTGTGTCAGACCTCAACCTATGGTCTTTTCCTTTCATCCATTTGGTGTAAAAATTTTCCGTGATTGTCGTCACCTGGGAGCCTGTATCCACAATTGCCTTCACCGCGATGTCCCCAATTGTAATCACCATTTCGGGACAGACTCCCATCATTTTGCTTCTTGGGCCATAACCTCGCCCCTCTGTAGCTTGGCCCTGCCTTACAGAGGACGACCGTTTCCCTGGCAGTACCGTGCCATATGTCCGGGTTGTGAACAAGACAAACAAATTGGTCGACCGTCTGCCGTCCATTGGAGTGATGGCTTGGCAGGACGCGGCCGTCCAACCCGTCCCTGTTTTGTACCGTTCTTTTCCTGATTCTCAGCTGTTGACCTGCTTTCCAACCACTTCAAGCGTTGGTCAACCTTCTCTAGGTGGGCCAACAGTTGAGCCATCATGGTCTCCATCGTGTCGGCCCCTGTGGGTGGGGATTGTCTCTGTTCAGGCACAGAGACTTTGTCCACCGAACAGTTCGATTGGTCCTCATCCTCGGACCTGCGGATCGCTGAGTTCCTGACCTGAAGGAAGGTCAACTGCTGGTCTCTGTGGACCTCCTCTTTCAACTCTCTCCTTAAGATCGGGGTTGCTAGCCCCTCGATGAAATGGTCCCTCAGTAGGCGTACATCAATGTCCGGTGATTTGCCCTTTACCAAATCAAAGGCCCTGTTCATCCTGTGTGAGTACTCCATCACACTCTCCGCCATTCTCTGCTTTAAGCCCACGAATCCCGATAGCAGTTGCACTCCCGACCGTCTCTCCCCAAAGGTCTCCATAATCAGATCCAGCACCTTATCTGGATCTGATTGGACGGTCCTATCGTGGCACTTAACCTCTGCCCTAACCGTTTCACCTATACTGCCCATCAGCAGTCTTAATCTTTCCTCTGGTGACATATGTCTCGAGGCCCAGGCCGCTTTGACCTCTTCACTGAACCTGTTGGTTAAAGTTGGGTCTCCGTCCCCGTAAAATTTGTTAATATGGGACTCTCTGGGTAGGACCACTATATGGGTCTGCTTCTCGTCCAGAGTAGACATTTTCTTCCTTAAGTACTAAAAAAAAAAGAGTTCTTTCTTACCGTGTGTGTATGAAAAATTTTTCCTCGTTCCTCAATTTTCACAGTTCCTGAATGTCCGAATTCACACACACACTAAACACAGTTATGCACAAGGTTGACTATAGGTGCCTTAAACGGCAAGTCTAGTTGAATTCATCCTGATCGCCGACGCCAAATGTGACCTAGGCTACTCGCAGCGCCAAATGTGACCCTGCTCGCAGCGCCAATTGTGACGAGCGAACATTTATCCTGCCGACGACGCCAAATGTGACCTAGGCTACTCGCAGCGCCAAATGTGACCCTGCTCGCAGCGCCAATTGTGACGAGCGAACATTTATCCTGCCGACAACGCCAATTGTAACGAGCCAACAGTTACCATGCTCGCAACGCCACATGTAATGAGACCTAATTGCCTGTAGTGCCACGTGTTAACGAGTTTAACCACTCATTCTAGACAACATTGACCACAGTATAGATACTCAAGATGCAGGTTCGCTATTGATCCTTTATTACATGAATCAAGAAATGCTTCATAATAACACAATAAATCAACAGGAATGCTTCTCAATAATAGTCTGAATCAACTGACCCCTAACAGTCCTTCACTAGGCTTTATATAACTGAATCCACATGTCTATAATCCTTCTTAACACAATACGGCTAACCCGTTCTATAACCGACTTGACATAGTCACACAGACTGACTGATTTAAGCGAGCGATGAAGATGGAAGAGAGCTCGCTGAAACGGGAAGAGAGAGAGCGAGTCCTGCCGTGCCCTCCTATTTATGCCTTGTATCCGTACTCGTCTCCGTACTTGTATTCCTCCGTAATCGATACTTGTACTCGATCTCCGACCACCAGTTGCGTAGTTCAAACGTACAGACCGTAAAATAACATCTGCGTCCTATCCATCAAAGTTGACAGGCCGTCTGAATACCGTTTCCCAAAATAGCACGCGCCGGCTTTGAGGTTGTTATCAGCCCGACCCAATAAGCCACCTGCTATCGGTTGCGTCAGACTAACACTGTGTCTCGGCCTCTCGTTCGTTATCATTTGTAACTGGTAGTTAGGCCTACCCCAGTTACATATATATATATATATATATATATATATATATATATATATATATATATATATATATATATATATATATATATATATATACATATATATATATATATATATATATATATATATATATATATATATATATATATATATATATATATATATATATATATATATATATATATAATTGGTGATATAGACATCACGATTGAGAAGCTAACTAAATAAGCTGTGAATCAACGCCTAAATACGAATAAATACGCCAACGCTAACAACAAAAATACTGATAAGTCACGATCAAACCAAAAAAAAAAATCTTTTGGTCTCGGTTGCTGATGTTTATAACCTGCTACAATATTCAAATGGAAGTATTTTTAGCCGACGCCCCAATCATCGGATATTTCCTGCATCGGATTGACGTCACACGCCCCCATCACGTGACGCGATGCTAGCGGCCCCTGGCGGCCATCAGAGACAGCAGCCTAATTACTAATGTAATTATCGACCCGACCTCTCGGCCACAAAGTATTCGAAACCTGGTTTCATGTTTCACATCGCTGTTATTGGCTGCCTACAAAGTCTGACAAGGGCAGATGTTAACTTTTGGGACGAGCGAAACTAAACTTTCGGGACGAGCCAAACTAAACATTTTTGGACTTGAGCGAAACTAAACTTTTGGGACTTGCGCGAAACTAAACTTTTGGGACTTGAGCGAAACTAAACTTTTGGGACTTGAGCGAAACTAAACTTTTGGGACTTGAGCGAAACTAAACTTTTGGGACTTGAGCGAAACTAAACTTTTGGGACTTGAGCGAAACTAAACTTTTAGAGGAAGGTGGTTGAAAGTAAATTTGTAGAAGTACAAAGATGAAAGGAAACTTTTAGGACAAGGACAAAAGTAAACTTTTAAATGGAAAGGGGCAAAAGTAAACTTTTAGGACAGGGGCAAAAGTAAACTTTTAGGACAGGGGCAAAAGTAAACTTTTATGACAGGGGCAAAAGTAAACTTTTAGGACAGGGGCAAAAGTAAACTTTTATGACAGGGACAAAAGTAAACTTTTAGAAGGACAGGGACAAAAGTAAACTTTTAGAACGACAGGGAAAAAAGTAAACTTTTAGATGGACAGGGACAAAGGTAAACTTTTAGAAGGAACGTGGTTAAAAGGTTAAAAGTAAATTCATAGAAGGACAAAGACAAAAGTAAACTGTTAGGTTGGGCAATGTGGCGATGTTACCTCATTTAAATATCGTTGTAAAGTTGAAGTAGAGACACTATTGGTAGTGATGCTAAAGACACTCTACTTAGAGGCACTAAGACTAGAGGCACTTCTTCTATTGACACTGATTATGAAATCAAAACGTGAAATCAAGAATTTTTTCTAATACATAGACTGTTTTTCAACCTTTGCGTTCTACCTATGTAGACACAGCTTCATCAACTTAAGAAAGGATAATAATTAAAGCATCCCAACGTACTTTTTTAATATTTTAATATTTTTTCCCCCAAAAAAACTCATTTGACGTCATTTTCCACACTTCCTTGAATGAATCAAATTCGCCAGTTTAAAGAGGGGCCAGTAACGCTAACTCTGGGAGCAAACAACCAGGGGAAACAATCCAGATTGAAACATTTGGACCACTTATTCTGAATAACTCTATATGACCTATGACTTTTACGTGTTTTCTTAAAAAAAAACCTTAATGGTGAAATTTCAATCGTGACCAGCGCATTAGTCTGATTAATATTCGATTGCTTTTTTTCTAAAAATTGCCTTATTGTGATACCAGTTCAATGAACTTTATCTTTCTTACCTTCGTCCATTCAGTGCAGGGTGCTTTTTATAAGTGTTAACACAACGTCCCTAGTTTCATTACAGTTGTCACACGTCTTTTAACTAAATGAGACACGGCTGAGGCACTTTCAACTTTATATATATATATATATATATATATATATATATATATATATATATATATATATATATATATATATATATATATACCTATTTATATATATATATTTATGTATGTATATATATATATATATATATATATATATATATATATATATATATATATATATTGATGTATAGATCGTTTATTGGACTAATACTGTGTACTTTCTTAGTGCTAACATGGATGAGCTGTATCGATCTAGTGGCACCAGTACATAAATCTCTGGCAGACAAAGCCAGGCCAGTACTCTGTACGGCACCACGTGAAAGCCCTCGCCCGAGTGTCCTCACCTCGATAATGATGACCGTTAGACTTGTTTTATCTTGTGACCATAGCAACTGGAGCTTCAGCTTGCCGGTCGGCTTTATTGGCGGGGCGTAGCGAGGGATCAGTTCCTCCAGGTTAATCTCGGTCAGCGCCACGGGGGTGTCGGGGAGGCCGATGGCTTGACGCTGGAATATAAGAGAGAAAATAATTGAGGTGGTGGAATATAAGAGAGAAAATAATGTAGGTGGTAGAATATAAGAGAGGAAATAATGTAGGCGGTGGAATATAAGAGAGGAAATAATGTAGGTGGTGGAATATAAGAGAGAAAATAATGGAGGTGGTGGAATATAAGAGAGACAATAATGTAGGTGGTGGAATATAAGAGAGAAAATAATGTAGGTGGTCGAATATAAGAGAGAAGATAATGTAGGTGGTGGAATATAAGAGAGAAAATAATGGAGGTGGTGGAATATAAGAGAGACAATAATGTAGGTGGTGGAATATAAGAGAGAAGATAATGTAGGTGGTGGAATATAAGAGAGAAAATAATGGAGGTGGTGGAATATAAGAGAGACAATAATGTAGGTGGTGGAATATAAGAGAGGAAATAATGTAGGTGGTGGAATATAAGAGAGAAAATAATGTAGGTGGTGGAATATAAGAGAGGAAATAATGTAGGTGGTGGAATATAAGAGAGAAAGTAATGTAGGTGGTGGAATATAAGAGAAGAAATAATGAAGGCGTTGGAATATAAGAGAGAAAATAATGTAGGTGGTAGAATATAAGAGAGAAAATAATGTAGGTGGTAGAATATAAGAGAGAAAATAATGTAGGTTGAGGCGGGGGAAGCCGATGGTGCTGGAACATAAGAGAGAAATGGTGTAGATGGGCTATGGTCTAGCACTATTTAATAAGAGCAAACACAATACAGGTAGTGGGAAGGGGATTGAATAGGGTGCTGGAACATAGACAAGAACACGATAGTGAAGACTGACTTGGTTAATACAACATACACTATAGTTGGGGGTGATTTTGGTTATTGGTGTAGATAGAAGGTGGAATACATTGATGTGATGGTGGGCGACCAAAGTAGGCATCATCATCATCATCATATTAAATACTCGTGAAACAAACTATTAACATAAGGTACGTGGTCTGATAACACAAATACACTAACTAAGATGTCGGTGTTTTAGTGATAAACAAGAATAAATTTCAACGTAGACAAGGACCACGAAGACCGTACGTTTTTCATAGCCTCGGTTACCTTCACATTTAGTGGGCTCCGTAACATTGAGCATATTTAGGAATATGTAAATAGTACTGAAGCTGTTGAAGTTTTGATGGTGTATCACTTTTTTAGAGACATCTGAATATAAATCGCCAATGGTACAAAGGAAAAGGTAATGGGTCTGCTCTTGTGGTTTGTCATGTATAATAGTCGACACCTAAACTAGACTTGATGGCTGCAATATTTGATAACAGATCACAACGTCATCTATGGTTTTATATCCAGCATCACATTGTCTGGAAACCTGGTTAATGATTCTATAGTAATTTTACACACAGATCTCTTACTATTTGATGAAAATTGTGTTAATTTTGTTCAATAAATCTAAGCTAAGTAAATCATTATAACAGAATTTGAGCTAACAAGAAGTTAATTTTTTAACAAAATTAAAGAAAGTAATAGCAATTAATAAAAAAGAAAGAAAAGAGAAAAAATGTATTCTTTCCCTAAAGTCCGAGGAAAGTAAAGTATAGATGGAACTGCATTTCCGAAAAAAAAACAGAGTTCAAATTACATGCAGATTAACCCTTGCTTTCTTTTTATCATACCTATTTTCTTTCAACCTTACAACATCATCACTGGTCAAACAGAAGTTAAAAATAAAACATCATCATACTGAAAGACTTATCGGCACGTCCATACGGCAGTGTTACTTATAAATATGTGCCATTGATTAAATATCGATGTAAATATGTGTCATTGGTTAAATATCGATGTAAATATGTGTCATTGATTAAATATCGATGTAAATATGTGCCATTGATTAAATATCGATGTAAATATGTGCCATTGATTAAATATCGATGTAAATATGTGCCATTGATTAAATATCGATGTAAATATGTGCCATTGATTAAATATCGATGTAAATATGTACCATTGATTAAATATCGATGTAAATATGTACCATTGATTAAATATCGATGTAAATATGTGCCATTGATTAAATATCGATGTAAATTTGTGCCATTGATTAAATATCGATGTAAATATGTGCCATAGATTAAATATCGATGTAAATATGTGCCATAGATTAAATATCGATGTAAATATGTGCCATTGATTAAATATCGATGTAAATATGTGCCATTGATTAAATATCGATGTAAATATGTGCCAGTGATTAAATATCGATGTAAATATGTACCATTGATTAAATATCGATGTAAATATGTGCCATTGATTAAATATCGATGTAAATATGTTCCATTGATTAAATATCGATGTAAATATGTACCATTGATTAAATATCGATGTAAATATGTACCAATGATTAAATATCGATCAAGTCTCGTTCATCCCTCACCTGTGCGACAAAAGATCGTTACATTTTAATGGGTTTTGATGAGCTCTCGCGAGAAACGCCGGCACTTCATCAAGGTAGCGACGTGAACTACATTTTCAACGCCATCTTCACGATCCTATTGGGGTAATTCAGGTGATGAAGTTTTCCCGCGTTCAGACGTGGGGTGGGGGTTGGAGATGGGACGTGTGGGGGTGGGAGGGGTGTTAGAGAGATGTTTCAAGTTAGTGCATCATGGGACTGGATCGTGTGCTGAGTGATAAAACGTATGGTGCAGTGGGGTGGGTTTTTTAATATTGGCTCTACATTTAAAAAAAAACATTTAATAAATCAAAAGTGGATTCATCATCAAAAGCGATAATACTTTTGCTGCCCACTTATTAAAATTTAAATTGCCTTAGGATAGCATTTTTTTTTAAACTTTGATTTTATTCGAATAGTTTTTGTGAATAAGATTGAAGTACTAAGAAGTCTATAAAAAATGAAGTTGCATACGTCCCAATGTCTTTTCTTGATTTTTATTACCAGGAAATCTTGAGCCTCTTACTTTTATTTCAAGACAGTCAAGACTGTGTGAGCATATTTGAATGAATTTTGTCAAGACTAAGTGAGCAGATGTCCACGTGACAATTGTCCCGTCTTGAGTAATTGTATGTGGCCATTGTCTTAATTCTTGTTGAGCTCATTGCTTCTTGCAGGTATTTGAAGACCAGTCTGTGTTAATGCCCAGCGTTATTAGATCATCTTGCTTCATCGAGAGTCGTTAAGTGATTAATTCAAAGTCTGATATGTGACCAAATCGAGAGTCAGTACGTGATTTCTTTGAAACAAAGTCTAATCTGTGACCCGATCTACAGTCGTTTTTTGATCGCTTTAAAAGTCTAATCTGTGATCGCATCTACAGTCGTTTTTTGATCGCTTTCAAAGTCTAATCTGTGATCGCATCTACAGTCGTTTTTTGATCGCTTTCAAAGTCTAATCTGTGATCGCATCTACGGTCGTTTTTTGATCGCTTTCAAAGTCTAATCTGTGATCGCATCTACAGTCGTTTTTTGATCGCTTTCAAAGTCTAATCAGTGATCGCATCTACAGTCGTTTTTTGATCGCTTTCAAAGTCCAATCTGTGATCGCATCTACAGTCGTTTTTTGATCGCTTTCAAAGTCTAATCTATGATCGCATCTTCAGTCGTTTTTTGATCGCTTTCAAAGTCTAATATGTGATCGCATCTACAGTCGTTTTTTGCTATTTAAAAGTCTTATCTGTGATCGCATCTACAGTTGTTTCGAGATATCTTTCCACGGCATTTAGTCAAAAGAAAACGAAAATGTTACTTTTACATTCAACAATACATTTTATAAATAAAAAAAAATATTTAAAAAATGCTTTCCTTTCCACGTTAAAACGAAAACGAAAATCGATGACGTCATTGTGGGATATTCCCCCCCCCCCCCTTTTTGTGCTGGCAGCTGTTAACGATCTACCATCCCTTGTGCTTGCAACTGTTAACGATCTACCATCCCTTGTGCTGGCAACTGTTAACGATCTACCATCCCTTGTGCCTGCAACTGTTAACGATCTACCATCCCTTGTGCTGGCAACTGTTAACGATCTACCATCCCTTGTGCTGGCAGCTGTTAACGATCTACCATCCCTTCTGCTGGCAACTGTTAACGATCTACCATCCCTTGGGCTGTTAACGATCTACCATCCCTTGTGCTGGCAACTGTTAACGATCTACCATCCCTTGTGCCTGCAACTGTTAACGATTTACCATCCCTTGTGCTGGCAACTGTTAACGATCTACCATCCCTTGTGCTGGCAACTGTTAACGATCTACCATCCCTTGTGCTGGCAACTGTTAACGATCTACCATCCCTTGTGCTGGCAACTGTTAACGATCTATCATCCCTTGTGCTGGCAACTGTTAACGATCTACCATCCCTTGTGCTGGCAACGATCTACCATCCCTTGTGCTAGCAACTGTTAACGATCTACCATCCCTTGTGCTGTTAACGATCTACCATCCCTTGTGCTGGCAACTGTTAACGATCTACCATCCCTTGTGCTGTTAACGATCTACCATCCCTTGTGCTGGCAACTGTTAACCATCTACCATCCCTTGTGCTGTTAACGATCTACCATCCCTTGTGCTGGCAACTGTTAACGATCTACCATCTCTTGTGCTGGCAACTGTTAACGATCTACCATCCCTTGTGCTGGCAACTGTTAACGATCTACCATCCCTTGTGCTGGCAACGATCTACCATCCCTTGTGCTGGCAACGATCTACCATCCCTTGTGCTGGCAACTGTTAACGATCTACCATCCCTTGTGCTGGCAACTGTTAACGATCTACCATCCCTTGTGCTTGCAACTGTTAACGATCTACCATCCCTTGTGCTGGCAACTGTTAACGATCTACCATCCCTTGTGCTGGCAACTGTTAACGATCTACCATCCCTTGTGCTGGCAACTGTTAACGATCTACCATCCCTTGTGCTGGCAACTGTTAACGATCTACCATCCCTTGTGCTGGCAACGATCTACCATCCCTTGTGCTGGCAACGATCTACCATCCCTTGTGCTGGCA